CRACAAGAACCCATTCTAAAAATGCTAAATCTATAACAACATGTGATAKATTTTTGGTCTGTCTGTCCATCAAATTTRKYATTTCTAAAATAATGGGAATCACCCAATTTCAGTGGTATTGAAACACTCTGCAGGCTCACTGAAACAAGTACATCATATTTCTGCTGCCCATTTGTGGAATTTGAACTCCCATTTTATTTAGGGTCCATATCAGTTAGTGCAGTTAGTGCGCATGCCCCCAGTCACACTGAAAATGTTAAGTCAAGGATTCCAATAAATATTTGTGTCAAATACACAGATCTTGGTGGTTGTTGTGAGCCCACTACAACCAGTATCTGTTTATTTTTTGTGATACCACATGATAGTAGGAGCCAGCCAGTCAAAAAAGATGTATTTCAATGTTATCAGTGCAACAGATACGTACCTTTGAATCGATACGTACGATGCTTCGATGAAAGGAATGAAGGGACATACCATTCCTATGTACCTATCGTAAGGTACTGTTCTTATGTATGTATCATAGGATCCATCGTAAGAGGTCCGAGGATCATAAGAGGTCCAAGATATCTAGAGTTAGAATATCTTACGAAGAACATAGATGTCACGAGTTCCAAATAGTAAGAACTCCGTGTAGATTGAGTACCAGATCTACACAAGGAACTAATCGGAACTTCGGAAATCTCACGTCGAGGTTCGATAATCTTAATCTTATAATTCAATTTTCATACACACTTAAACACTTACTAAGAGTACACGTATTTCGTGCAATCAGGAATGACCCATTGCTCAAGAACACAAGGAATTGCTCAAGGTTATCAAAGAATGGGTGGCTCATAACCTAGGAAATATATATATATATATATATGCTCTTTAGAGTTGTATCTATATGATAATAAACAAGAGTAAGGTTACAGCTCACTCCTCACTAGTAGTACTAGTAGTACTAGTACTAGCTAGCTACTCATGATTTAGCCAGAATGACTAAATAGATTGCAGGGCAGTTAGCTTTTAACATAGTATTGGCAAGAACAGCGGCGCCAATAGTACTAGTACCCTCATACTGCTGCTGACCAATACATCAATTGACTAAAGAGAACAATTGATTAGAGGGAACAAGAATATATTATTTAAGAGATCCAAAATACTAGTGAGGACTCATCATTAACATTAAGAAGTAACTATTTCCACAAT